CTGTCCTTTATGTATTTTCATCCATAAAGTGTGAAGTATATAATAATATCGGCACAGTATAAATTTTACTTATAGACACTATTTGAGTAAATTGCAAACAAGCAATATAAATTTATTTCAGTGATTTCAATAGTTCTTAAACCCTTAATCTTTTAAAAATTTGTCGAATATTTCTGTGTCATTTATTTGCAGAACAAAAATCATGCAAGCAGAACAAATACTCGTTGTCGATTGTGTGAAGTACACAAATTTTACAAATTGCAGATACTTTATTTGAATTGCAATTCATTTGACAAATACACTTTTTGCTCGGCGTCTTCTTCAAATTATTTTGTGGTTGTTTTTTGTACATCAAATTCTTTAGAAATGAATTCCTAATAATTTCTGAAAGGATATGAGTGTGAGTGTTCAATCATGAACATGAATTTATAACATAAATTTAATTATTATAGTTTATATTATCACCTAAATTCTTAGAATTATGTACTAAGGAAAAATATAGATAAATAGTAACATTTTTTAGCAACCGTATTTAAATTATTAAACTAAAATATATTCATAAAAACAATAGGAGGAAAATCCCAAGTGTTGGGACTTCCGTCCTTTTTTTAACCTTTTTTAACCTTTTTTGACAAATGTAATACAGTCCACTAAAATCATAATATTTTAACCTTGATGTAGAAATTAGTCTTAAAATATTTTTGTATAAAAACACAACATTATTTGAAATAAAATCAGTAGCTAAAAATTACTCAAAGTGTGTGTACTTTAATTTATTAAATGTACATTTTGGTCCTTCGAGACATAAAGTAAAATTGAGTACAGTGCGATACAAGCGTGGACCGAGGCTTAAACATCGGTGCCATAAACTAAATATATAGTACAGTGCGATACAAGCGTGGACCGAGACTTAAACATCGGTGCCAAAAATTTAAATATAGTGCAAAAAGCATTGATCGAGATTTAAATATCGGTACGGTAAAAAGAAAATGGATCCATCAAAATTATTAGCTCTGCTAAAACAGCAAAGAGCAATATATGACGATGTTAAGAATATCGAGAAGAATAGCAGCAAACGTGAGTTGCGTGCGAATACAATAAAAGAACGTTTAGATAAACTACAAGGATTATGGAATCAATTTAAAGATAATCACGAGAAAATACTCTTAACGGAGAATAAGGAAGACAAATATTTTAAAGAGGACTTTTACACTACAGTGCATCAAAAAGTGATTCAGGTGAAAACAATGTTCGAAGAAATAGTTGAAAGCAAAGATAGAAATGCAGAATCTGTTGAAAGCAAAAGTGTAGACGAGAAAATAACGGAAAGTCAAATTGAGAAAAATAAAATCAACAATCTAGTAGAGCAATATAACAATAACATCGCAAGGTTAAGACAGATGTTAGAAAATCTTGACCATTATGATACTGTCACGCGTTTGGAACAACTTAATAGAATCTGGAAAAGAAAGTTCGAAGACATTAGAAGTATCTATAAGAAGCTGGTTATTGAAATGTCGTACAATGAAGTAGACATTATGAATGATTATGATGAGATTGAAGACCAATACGATAAGGCGTTAGATGAATTAGCCAATAAAATGGAAAAATTACGTGAGGGGAACAACGTTAAGCTTGACTGCATTAGAATCCCAAATTTCAACGGTAATATTGAAGAATGGTCGTCTTTTCATGATCTATATAAAAGGCTTATCCATGAGGATGGAAAAATTTCGAATGTTGAGAAAATGTATCGACTCAAAACATTAGTAAAAGGAGAAGCAAGCAAGCTGATACAACATCTACCGGTGTCGGAATTGAATTATGCTGTAGCTTGGGAGATTTTGTCGCAAAGGTACGAAAATGAAAGAATGTTGTTTACAATATTGGTCGATAAATTGCTCGATCAACCATCTGTATATAATGATTCAGCGTCAAGTTTGAAAAAGTTGCTTGACACATCGATAGAATGTATCCAGGGGCTGAAGGCAATGGGTATAAAAACGAATGAAGCAGATCCAATAATAGCAAGGATTATAATCAGGAAGTTGGATAAGGAAGGATTACGGCTATATGAGCAAAATATAAAAAGGACAAAGGAGATTCAAAAATTGGACGATGTATTACAGTTTCTGGAGCAGCAATACCAAGCAGCAGAGGCGATTAAATCTAAGAAACAAACTAATAATGTAAAGTCTTTTCAAAAAACAACAGCGACAACTATAGTAGCAAATGATTACCAGTGCTTTTACTGCAACAAAAAAGGACATATGGCATTAAAGTGTTATGAGTTTCTAAAGCTACAAGTCAAGGACAAAAATACATGGGTAAAAGACGCTAAAATTTGTCGCGTCTGTTTATCGCATAAAACTACAAAAAGATGCAATAGTAAGACAAAATGTCAAGAATGTGGGAAGTGGCATAATACTCTTTTGCACATTAATTCAGGGCAAAATAATAACACATCAACATTAACAATGAATACGGGCACAGCAGAAAATGTGTTACTTGCAACGGCGCAAGTGCGCGTAAAAAGTGTTCAAGGTGAGATGATTATGTTAAGGGCACTAATTGACCAAGGGTCGCAAACTACAGCTGTATCAGAAGAAGCGGCACAAATATTAAATTTACCAAGGAAAAAAGTAAAAATGGAGGTGCAAGGGCTTGGAGGAACACCGGTTGGCGTTGCAAAGGCAAAAATAAATCTTCAAATTCACCCACGATTCACCAGTAAATATAAAATAAATGCAGAAGCATTAATTTTACCATCATTGGTATCTTGTCAACCGGATAAAACCTTTAGCTATAATATAGATAAGTGGGAAAATATGACCTTGGCGGACCCAAATTTTAATAAATCCGATAGAATTGACATAATCATAGGAAGCGATCTTTACGGAGAAATTCTTGAAGGCGGTCTACTTAAAAAAGATAAAATATTGGCGCAATCAACAAAGTTCGGCTGGATATTATCAGGTATTTTACAAGCAAAAAGAAGCATTAAAGGATTCATCTCTTCCAACGTCGTCAACATAGAAAAGTTTTGGGAAATAGAAGAAATTCCAGAGGATGAAGATTCATCAGAAGACGGATATTGTATGAAAAATTATGCTGCGACAACTACCAAAAATGAAGATGGACGATTTGTAGTTGAGTTACCTTTCAAAGAAGAACACCAACTTGGCGACTCATACAAAATGGCGATGGCACGATTCATAAATTTGGAAAGAAAATTACAGGCAAACCCATCATTAAAGAGAGAATATGTCGAATTCATGAAAGAGTATCTAGCTGATGGGCATATGAAAAAAGTAAGTTCAAAAAGACAGGGAAAATATTATCTACCTCACCAAGCAGTAGTAAGAGCGAATAGTATCACTACTAAGGTGAGAGTAGTTTTTGATGCTTCGGCAAAGACCACGAATAAAAATAGTTTAAATGATGTATTATATGTTGGCCCAAGGTTGCAAAGGGATATCTTTGATATATTGTTGAAGTTTCGACTGAAAAAATTTGCCATAGTTGCTGACATAGAAAAAATGTATAGACAAATATGGGTGAGTAAAAATGATCAGAAATACCAACATATTTTGTGGAGAAGCGAGATTAATCAGCCAATTGAAGAATACAAGTTAACAACTGTAACTTACGGTATTGCCCCTGCTTCATTTTTAGCTATAAGAACTTTATTTGAAATAGCAAATGAATGTCAGGATAATCACATATCGAAAATAATTAAAGACGATTTTTATATGGACGATCTTCTAACTGGCGGTGATACAAAAGAAGAGTGCAAAAGTGTTCGGCTAAGGATATCGGCGCATTTGGAGAAGTATGGATTTCATTTGAGAAAATGGTGCTCAAACAGCATGGATATAATAGAAACGGTGGAAAAATCAAAAGACAATGAGGTCATTGATTTAGATAAAGAAGAAAGTATAAAAACGCTTGGCTTGCAATGGAATCCTAACAATGATATATTCATGTTTAAGATAGCAGAAAGTAGAGACGTCTATATAACAAAAAGAATGGCATTATCGTATCTAGGTAAAATATTTGATCCATTAGGACTATTGGCTCCAGTTACAGTATTGGTTAAGTTATTTGTGCAGAAGCTCTGGATAAGTAATTTAGATTAGGATATGAAATTAAATGAAGAAATGATGAAAGAATGGAAAAACATTGTGCAGAACTTAGACGCAATACAAACAATCAGAATTGAGAGATGGGTAGGAGTTACCGGAAATGATGAAATATGCCTGGTAGGGTTCGCTGACGCATCGGAAAAGGCCTACGCAGCAATAGTGTACATAAAAACGCACGCAAAGGTGTCCATAATAGCAGCAAAAAGTAAGGTAAATCCTATAAAAAATAGAAAAACATTGCCGAAGCTTGAGCTGTGTGCAGCGCATCTATTGGCAAAATTATTAAATAAAATTCATAACATAATTAACAGAAAAATAAAAATGTATGCATGGAGTGATTCCACGATTACATTATGCTGGATAAAAAGCAATTCAAGCAAAAATAAATTTATTAGGTCAAGAGTAAATGAAATAAGCTCGTTAATTCCAAGCGCCAATTGGTTTTATGTGCGATCAAAGGAAAATCCAGCAGACCTAGCATCCAGAGGAATTCAGCCGGAAAAGTTAGAGAACCAATCGTTATGGTGGAGAGGTCCAAACTGGTTAAACGATGATAGAAGGACATGGCCAAAAAAACAAATGGCAGCTAAAATAATAAATATCAGTAAATTAAGAGAGGAAGACTTATTTAATCAGCTCATCGAGAAATATTCATCTTTTAGAAAATTAAGTAGAGTGGTAGTATATATTTTTCGTTTCATAGACAGACTGAGGAAGGCTAAGTCTCCAGAATATCTAACTGTAGAGGAGTTTAGAAGAGCAGATGCAGCTATTTTTAGAAGTCATCAGACAACACAATTTTTTACGGATATAAGCAGATTGAAAAATAGCTGTGAAATAGATCATCGAAGCAAAATGGCAAATTTGAATCCGTTTTTAGACAAAAACCAAGTTTTGAGAGTTGGAGGTCGATTAATCAATGCAAAAATTGGTTTTGATAGAAAGCATCCAATAATTATAGCAAAAGGTCATTTGGCGAATTTGATAATAAATGAAGCACACCGAGAAACATTACATGGTGGACATCGATTGATGGAAAATGTTATAAAAAGAAGATATTGGATATTTGGACTTAAAAACTTGATTAAGAAATGTATACGTGAATGTGTAAGGTGCACCCGTTATAAAGCATTAAAGCAGAAACAGCTTATGGGTGATTTACCAGAATATAGGGTCAATGTGTCTGCTCCGTTCGCTCATTGTGGAGTAGATTACGCTGGACCATTGCTAATAAAATGTTCTAAAGGGCGAGGCCAAAAAACTTTTAAAGGGTACGTAGCGGTATTTGTATGTATGGCAACTAAAGCTTTGCATTTAGAGTTGGTAAGTGACATGACATCAGACTCATTTCTGGCGGCGCTGAAGCGATTGTTTGCACGCAGAGGCAAATGTTCACATATATACTCAGACAACGGTACTAACTTCGTTGGAGCATCCAAAAAATTAGATAAGGATTTACAACAGGCTATTAAAAGCAATGTGAGTGCAGTTTGTGCATTGGAAGCAGAAGGTATAAAATGGCATTTCATTCCACCGGCAAGTCCTCATTTTGGAGGTTTATGGGAGTCGGCCGTGAAGTCAATAAAACACCACTTGAAAAGAGTTGTTGGCGAAAATAAACTTACTTATGAGGAGTTAAGCACACTTCTAACTCAAATTGAGGGCATACTTAATTCACGACCGCTTTGTGCAAATGTTGACGACAATGATATATTAACTCCAGGTCATTTTTTAATTGGGCATGCTATCATTGACTATCCAGAAGCAGTAGATGATATGAACATATCTTCATTAAATCGTTGGAAGATAATTCAAGCAATGAAGAAACATTTTTGGAAACGATGGAAGGAAGAATATTTAACGAATCTTCAGCAGAGGTACAAATGGAAAGGGGTTCAAGCAAATGTTAAGGAAGGCCAAGTGGTAATAGTGAAGAATGAGGAAACATATCCAGGAAGATGGCCTCTTGGAAAGATAATTGACGTTCATCCTGGAAAAGATAATCTGGTGAGAGTAGTATCGGTAAAAACTCAGAACGGCACAATAAAACGTCCGATTCAGAAATTATGTGTATTGGAAGGCGTACACGAACAAATACATGTTGCTGAGAATAAGACGATAAATGTTATTAAACGAAAAGATTTGAAAAAAGAAAAATCTGTTAATTTAATGTTACTTTTATTGCTAATGATTTTAATTCCATCTAGAGTAGCGTCAGAAGCAATTAAAGGAGGAAAAGTGAATGAGATAGACAAAGACACGGTGGTTTATTTGGACGAAATTGGATCTATGAACGTGGTATCATCATCATGGAAGCTGTTAATATGTTTTGATTTGGAGCCCTTTTTCGAAATAATTGATAAAGGAGGTACAACTATATTGGAAATGGAGAAATTTGTTCTAAACTACAAACATTTGAAAACCATTGTGTGGCAATTATAGAAGATATGAGACAGCAAATAAAGCAGATGCAGGACACAAATAAATATTTGCTTCAATATAAAAATCAAAGAACGAGAAGAGCGCCATTTGAGTTCATCGGGTTACTGCAGCACATATTGTTTGGCACAATGGATGCAGAAGATAGAAAAATGTTCGAAGAAGACATGATGAGATTACTAGAAAATCAGCATGATATCAAGAATCTGATAAATAAGCAAACTTCGGTAGTAGATTCTACGGTGAATTTGTTAAAAAGAACCACCACGGAGATAAATAATAATTTTAAACAAATGCAAGATAGGCTCAACCTCTTGTCGTCGGCAATGCAGGAATCATATTTGGTATATCGGGAGTCAATTAAGTTTTTCATGGTAATAAAAGAGCTGCAGGGAATAATTGAAGAAAACAGAAATGTTCAAACAGAAATAATAAAGCTTTTAATTGACATAAATCATGGGAAATTGAATCCTTCGTTGATAACTCCTACTCAACTGTATGAAGAAGTTAGGAGCATCAAAGAACATCTTCCAAATAAATTAAGGCTGCCAGGAAATAGCGATAATCAGTTGCAAGTTATTTATAAGCTTTTATCGGCAATAGGAACAATAATGGATAAGAAACTAATCATAAAGGCAGAAATACCATTATTTGACACACAAGAATCAAAACTATACAAAGTAATTCCGATGCCTATGGAAAAGCATGGGATAATTTTGAGTCCAATGATACAAAGGCAGTTTCTTATATATAATTTCGAAATGGACTCATACCATTTGATGACGGAAACACAGCTCAACTTATGCAAACACGTCACAGAAGCGGAGTATGTTTGTGAAGGTAATTGGCCATGGCTAGATGACTCGTCGTGTGAGATTTCACCATTGAAGCCTTTAAACGCTTATAAATGTACATACATTGAAGCGGA